TAAGGCTGATTTCCTGGGGCACACGTTGCCTTTGAATTTCAGGTTTTTAATGGACTGGCAGGGCATCTGGGAGGGAGGAGAGGGAAACAGAATTTTCTTTCCCCCATAAATAATTTTATGAAAGATTTTAGAAGAGATTTAAAGAAGAATCTCTTCCCTCTCTTTCCTTTCTCAACTGTGCATTTGAAACTGTTTGTGGAAGGGAATTAATTAGCACAGGCAGCAGAGCCCAAAGCTCTGCAGCAGCCTATCTTCTGCACAATGGAGATCAACGCTTTCCCCCCTGCCTGAGAAACACACGCCCAAAATCCAAAAACATACATTTTTTCTAACCTAATTAATTTTGTAGATTGATGGAGAAAATCCATAACAAATATTTATGACTTTGCAATAAATAACCCTCACAGAAGTTACRAAGCGTTCTGGCGAGTCTCAAGGTAACTTTCAGCGAATTCCAGGGGTCAGGGCAGSCTGGGATACTGAGCCCATAGTGCTTGAGCGTTTGGCTCATCTGTTTTGAATTATTGGTATTACTCAGTGTAGCATTGCTCTCAATGGAGTAGCTGTGCTGTGATTCCATGCCATATTTTATTTCTGTGGCAGGAGAGAAGCTTCAATAACTATTAGTTGTAGCTAGCAAGAAAAGCAGGCCCCAGCAGGAAGGGGTTGGTCCTGCTGGTGCTGGCGGCTGGCAAAGGAAAGCGCGGTGCCCCCGTGCCTGGGATGGGACTCGGGTGCTTTCTGCTGCCAGTTCMGATCACGGAGCTGCCGAGGTTCCTGCAGGAACCATGGAAGTGTCCCAGTGTCCTGCTGARGGGGACAGCAATGCTCTGGGCAGTGCTGCAGCAGGGAGGGGCAGCAGGGAGGGTGCTGCCAGGGAGCCTCACACCCACTTTGGACATGGAGCAAACTCATCCCCACTCCAGCTTCGTTAGTGTTCATCACACAGCAAGGAGAGCCCAGCAGCATCACGCTGCTCTCCCGGGCCTGCAGAGCCCTCTCCTTTCAGGGCTTTCAGAAAACAGGGTCAGACGTGTCTTCTGACCTGTGACCTGTCGCTTCCCTCCTCACCATAATTATCTAATACAGCGCTCTCCCTGCCAAGTACAATGAAACAATTTGTCACTTCAATTGTCTGTCAGTCAACACTGGGGCCTTTTCAGCASACCAACACATGTTTTTTGAGAGCTTGTCAGCAAGGGCTGTCTGGCCAGGCACATAACCATGGAAAATGGAACCTTTGTTAATTCTGGTTCTTAGAAAAGTAAATCCATTCACTTGTTTTTTTTCAGGCCTTCAGTTTGGAATTTGCACAAGAAGCTGAATTGCCCCTGATCCCTAAATGATTGGTCAGAGGATTTGCATGAGGAAGCAGAAATTAATTATTCTTTTCTTTTCTTTTTATTTTCTGTAATTGTGTGTTTAGAAATGAGATTACATTCTACAGCAGCACGAGGGGCTGAGGGGGGAATTGCTTTGCATTTGTTTAGCTCCTTAGAGCTAAGATCACCTAATCGTTTCAAGCATTTCCTAAGATTCCCTCTCTTTTTCTGCTTTAATGACCAAACAAAGATTGTGCTGCTTCCCGGGGAACTTTTCTGGCAGCTGAGCTCAGCAGTGGGAGCCAGGGGCTTATCCCTCTGCTGAAACAGAATCGCACAAGCACTAAGGGTGGAAAAGACCTCTAGGATTGGTGAGTCCAACTGTTCACTAACTCAGTGCTGCCAAGGTCTTCTTGCTGCTTTTGGCTCCCAAGGGCATCAAGAGTCCTCTTGCAGAGGACCAGAGCAGACTGGTATGATGGGGATGAAGTGGAAACTGCAGATACAGAGAGTTCACAGACGGTTCAGGAGCTCAGGCAGAATCCGCTGCCTCCCTCACACTGTGCCCAACATAGGAACAAGGGGGAGACAGCCTGGTCCCGGCCCAACACCTCAGCCTTCTGTACATGTAAAYGCAGTTTCCACTTTAAGAGTAAAAAGACTAAAAGCAAACAGGAAAAGGTGTCTTTAAACTGGCGGTGTGCTGCTTTCTCTCCACACACMGTCTGTCACCTCTCTGGATATTCTCTGTTCAGCCTGGCAGCCACTCCTGGGATTTGTTTGCCCACAAAGTCCACAGACCAGCCTGGGGTGCAAGATGAAAATGGAATTTTATATCCCCTGTGACAGGAGGTGCCAATTATCAACACTTGAGCAGAAGAAAAGGAATAACTAGCAGAAGAGCACAATAAAGTGATCCCTGCAGCACTGAACCCTGGCAATCAGGTACAAGATAACTATGGCTGTGTCCCTGTTTAATTATTTCTGCTTCACCTGATTGTGAAAGAAAAAACCAAAAAAGTACTTTCCACTTAAACTCKGTGCGATCTTTAGCAGGAAGATGATTCTCCTGTGTATGTGCAGCTTCCCCAGGGGCATCGGTGCTGCAGCCAGAGGGATTCCCTGAGGGCGGGCACCAAGTGTTTGCATTTTCGGTTCTGCACGGTAGAAGCCCGTGTCGGTGGGAAATCTGCCCTGAATTCAAGCAGCCTGGACTCCCCGGAGCCCAGAACTCCCTCCCCTCCCCACAAACAGCACAGAATCCCT